GGCATTCATGTAGTTCTAAGACAACTTGCAAGGTGGAAAATTGGCCTTAAAATATATAATTTTGTAAAAGCTTTCTTGACCAATAGAACGTTCGCTGTCAAATACAACAATAAATTTTCGAAAACCAAGAGGCTTCATAATGGAATACCTCAGGGCTCGCCCCTTTCGGTAGTGTTATTTATTGTTGCATTCGACGAAATTAATAAAATATTTCTCAACTTTAAAAGGATATCGTACATGGTTTACGCGGACGATGTGATACTCTTCACTAAGCGTAAAGATCGAAAATTAGTTCATGACGACTTCCATCAAATCCTTACGAGCGATTTCTAATTGGTCAGAGGCTTCAGGAGCATCCCTTGCATACGACAAATGTAAAATCCTACACTTATGTAAGAAACAAAATTGTTCGCCTTTGTTGTTAAATTTTAATGGTATCGATATTAAAAGCTATGATAGCTTAAAAATATTAGGTGTTATCTTCGACAAAAGATTTACAGAGAACACTGTAAACACCTTAGAGCAGAGTTAAGCAAAAGACTTACTGCCGTCCCTAAATTGGAGCGCTAAGCGTTGCGTTATCCATTGTCAACGAGTGTCATCGCGCGCTATACCCAAATCAACGCGTCGTCAATTTTGACGTTTTCTCATGTCCTCTCGTTTTTATTCTCGTTTCCTTTTTCACTTCTTTGTCCGTTCTCTTTCTCTTCGTCTTCTGCATCCAACTTCAGCACGTAGCGCCCTGTCAAAAATGAAAATTCCATTTGCTCGGCGTTAGCGCCGCGTTATTGTGGGATGCTTCATACAAATTGTATGGGCATGAGGATTTTTGACAGTTGCTTGGCGCTTGACGCGCCAATTTAGGGATGGCAGTTAGGGCTGGTTTCTCCAACTCAACTTAACTTAGTTAAGCCAATTTTCTTGACTTAGTCAAGAATAAGCTGTGTAAAACGTAGGCTAACTTTTGACTTAAGTCCAAAAAGTGGCTAAACTAAGTTAAGTTGAGTTGGAGAAACCAGCCCTTAATGTTATAAAATACTTGTCGTCGAAACATTGTTTGATAAAGTCACCAATACTTGTTAATGTCACAAGAGCTCCTATGATCTCAAAGGTGGATTACGGACTGCCGATATACCGGCAAAGTGCAAAGGCCAACATAAGGATGATAACACCACCATATCACGCAGCTGTTAGGAGAAGCATCCGCGCCTTCCCTACATCACCAATCGCTTGCATCCTCTCGGAAGCTGGGATGCCGTTACTTCAAGAACACATTGCATACAATACCCTCAAATTAATACCAAAAGTTTTACAAGGCAACAATTCCCTGGTGCTCAACCTAGCAAAGACTCAAACAAATAAGTAAAAAAATTCTCGCCACCCATCCACAATAGCCATATGTATATCAGCGGCGAAAGAACTGGGTATCCCTACTGCTATAAAGAGCTCTATTTTTAAAAGTCCTCCACCCTGTCAACCAATAAGCAGGTACATTTATTCGAACTTGGTAAAATACCGTAAAAGCGAAACCAATCCAGTAGTATACCAGCAACTTTTTGTAGAGCTTACAACAGATTTACAAAAATTACTTTACTCCGACGCATCCAAAGATAAGTCTCAAACCGCTTATGCTGTCGTCGACTCTTAACCAGTGACCGCCAAACACTTTCCTGGGAAACGAACTATATTCGGCCTTTCACATGTACTCAATCGGCTTCTTACACGTACACAATCCGAACGTCAACAGAAAGAGTAGCAGAGCAACAAATTTTATTTAGTTGCATGCAAACAATAGGCGAAGCCGGTTGATGGCGCATTTCCGTGCATTACCACCAACACATTCTCATTTTTTATTTCATAACTAATCCATTCTCATTTGAAGACTTCTCTTTTTGGCGGACACTGCTCTTAACTCTCCACAATTTGCGCTGGGACTTTTGCTCAATATATACAGCTGAAGCAGTAGCGATATTACAGGCAGTTGAATACACACATAAAACAAAAGGAAAGTGGGTTGTATGTACTGACAGCCTCTCCACAATAAATTCGCTGGAAAATGTCAGAGAGAATAACCACCTACTCAACGCAATACGACACAAGTTGCTGGAGCGTAAAGGGTCAACGAGAATCATGTGGATTCCTGGCCATGTAGATATCAAAGGTAACGAAGCTGCTGACCGGAGGGCCAAACTTGCAACAATTGAACCTCTTTGCACTTCCGAATGGTTCCTGAAAGACGACATTATACGCTTGGTACATGCACACATAACGACCGAAAGTGCACATAAATTTTTAAATTCACAACATCATTATAGTAAGTTTACTACAAAGGGAAAAAAACTCGTTTACGACTCAAACATCTCTTGCAATGATTTGAAAACAGTCACCCGGTTACGTATTGGCCACACAATTATAACTCACAGCAACATCCTCAAGGGGGAAAGCCGACCGCTATGTCCGTATTGTAACTTGAACCAAATTTCCGTAATCCACCTCCTTGACGAATGCCAACATTTTACCGACATCAGGAAAAGCATCTTTTGAAACTATACACCTTCGGATTATTTAATAACTATCGAGAGTAAGAACATTGACAGGATTGTAAAGTACCTAGTATTGACAAATCTAAAGAAGATAATCTAGAGTTAAGTTTTGTTTTAGATTAGGGTCAATCTCTAAGTTAACCAGTTTACTAGGTATACAAAAAGTTGACAAGCGAGCTGAAGGTCTCAGTTACTAGTGCTCCTAGTTATTGTAGTTAGGTGATTTATCACTTAATTTGTGTATAATAAATAAATAAA